CGGCTCCTGGGACAGACCCAGGACTGGCGTGTCCTGACCACTAAGCCTTATTTTGACCTGAGCTAAGCCAGGGGGTCCGGGCCTTTACAGGAGCCGCTCCTTTCCCCAGGTCAAGGCAGCACTGAGCAGAGCCACGTGTGAGCCAAACCAGGGGCCCAGGAGGCTGTCTCTGCAGGTCCCCTGCCACGGACGTAGCCGGGCTGCTGGGACAGTCAGGGCGCAGAGGGCCGGGGAGGCGACGGCAGTGTCGGGAGGCTGAGCCCAAGTGGAGCGTCAGAAACACCCCCAGCCGGCGGGGGCCCTGGGAAGGTCTGCGCTAATACGTCTGAAGGACCTGTCTCCTCGGGGACCACCGATACCGGCCTCCTCAGTCCATTACCACCTTAAGGACTAGTCTGTCTGGAGTCCAAGAACAGCCGCCGTGGTAAACGGGAGCGTTTACTGACCGCTCGCCCCACGCGGCCTCAGCTGTATCTGCCTCAGCCCCTCAGTTCCGTTAACTCGCCGAAGCGCCTGCACCTGCATGAGACCAGCAGCGGGCAGCCCTCGGGCGTGTTCTCGTGCGCCGAGGACCATCCTTTGAGGGGATGCACACCACCTCATGGGTCAGAAGACAGAGGCACAGAGAGGTTAGGAAATGTGCCTGTGGCCACACAAGCCAAGATCAGAACTGGCCAGTCTGGCTCCGGACTCTGCCCTCCAACCACAGACAATGCCGCCTACGACGGTCATGTCAGACAGACCGGCTTGTGGAGCTAACTCCCCTGCCAGGCGCCCGAGGGGAGCAGCGGGCGCGCGGACAGGCCGGTGCCTCGGGCAGCGGGGCACTAAAGCGCGGCTTAGCGTTCCACGGGCGCCTGGGCGTCTGCTGAGCGGATACGTGGGGGCGCTGCCTGCGTCTCGGGGCATAAATGTCGCCACCGCTGCCTTCCGGGAGCTTCGCTCCAATGGGAGGGCCAACAGCAACGGATCAGACCCTTGTAGAGACGCGTTTCCACCGTTCTCGGTGACTGGAAACAGAGCTTCAGAAATCAGTTAATTTGAGACTTTGTCACTGTGACGCTGGGCCAGGCTGCCCCAAATGACCCCCCAACCGCATCTGGTTCTCAAAGGCAAGGACCCGTGACCCACAGCCCGGCACACGGACAGGCTCTCAGTACCTGACAAGTGACTCTGAAGACACCCCCCAGTCCCCACCTCTGAAGAGACACCAGCCCTGTCACCGGGACACCGCCCACCTCCGCCCTGCGCGCTTGCGGCTGGTGTGGAATCACAGAGCCTCTGGAGCCCGGTCTCCACGTCTGCAGGGAGAACTGACGGACTACAGCTCTGCACGGCCTACGGGATGTGTGCGCACAGGAAGTCGGGCACGCCGAGGGTCGGCGAGAACACGGGAGCGGACACGCCCCACGACTCAGCCATCCCTGGTCCCCACGCAGGACACGGGCGCGTGCAGGGACGGGTTGCCCCGTGTGCGCGGCCAACCTGGTGCCCCACTGGGGACCAGAAGGCACCGCATGGCCCCTGGACTCTGAAATGCTGTGCCGCTGTCAGGAGTAACCAACCAGAGGTTCACACAGCCACCCGGGGGATGGTGGAGCACAGGGCTGCTGAGAAACGGGGCCTCAGGAAAGGGCCGGAGCGGAATGGGATCCCTGCTCCTCAGAACACTGACGGAGGCGGCAGCCCCGGACCTTACAGACGATGCTCACGGCTACAGAGCCAACACGTGAGCGGCTGCCCGGGACGGAGGCGGGTCGGGGTGCCGTGGGGTAAAGGGAAGCACAGAAATGAGGCCGGGGAGAGGGAGAAAGAAGGGGGGGGAGAATGGACGGGGGTGGCTGGATAGATGATGACAGACGACAGATGACAGGTAGATAGTGTGGGTGAGTGGGAGGAAGGGGGAGAAGGGGGCGCGGGACGAGCAATGGCAGCCGGGCCGACTGAGGATGCGCTGAGCCCGCAGCCACGGTGGCGGCGGGACCGGGACCGGGACAAGCAGGGCCCCGAGCAGGCTCCCCAGCAAGGCCTGGCAGCTCCTCCGACGGGCAGAAGCAAGAAGCAAGGTTGGAGAAACGCAGGTTACGACACAGAGCGATCTAATCCCAAAGGAGCCGGAGGAACGAAGAACAGCACCTTCTAGAAGTTGGTGTCAGCCGCTCAGGTTCACCCACAACAGACCAGGGCGGCCAGGCCAGCCCCTCACTGGCTCCCAGGACGTTCCACAGATGGAGACGCCGAGAGGCCGTGGCGCCCGCGCCGGCCGAGGCTCGGCAGGAGGCCTGGGTGGCTACGCGGCCAACCCTGGGGGCCAGCGCTGTTTGAGGTCACACTTCAGAGAGAACAGGAAACGCCTCCCAGAGGAGCTTAACCGCTAACCCGGTGGTTCTCAACGTGGGTCCCTGGAGCGGCAGTGTCGGCACCCCTGGGAACTGAGCGGGGAACCCCTCGGCCCCCAGACCTGCTCTGTTTTCACCCGAGGACTCGGACGCACACTCACATTTGAGAGCCACTGCTCTGATGAACAGTCCAGCCTTCATTTGGAAAACACCAAGGAGGGGCCCGAGGTGGGAAGGGAAGCGAAGCAGCTCAGACAGGCCCCGCCCTGCGCCTCTCCTGCCAGAAGCACAGGCTGCCCCGCCCGCCGCCAACCTCACCGAGAGCAAACAAGTGAGAGCGGAAGGCCGGACGCGGGAGCCGCTGAAGTGGTCTGCTGCCCCTTTTACTTCATTGCTAGCTCTCCCCCCTCGCCTGGGAAGGTCTGGCACTGCCCACGCCCACACCCACGCCCAGGGTTTGGATGTGGCTGGGTGCCCACTTGCTCTGGGGTGAGCCTAACACAGAGGCCTCGGGCCGGGGCGGGGGACAGCCCCCAGGGCTCAGTCACCTTCCCTGCACGTTGACAATGCCAACCTTCCCCTGACCCAGTTTGTCATCTTCTCAGAAGGGGGCAGGGTGGTAGCATCGGCTGCCAGCCGCTTCCCTGACCAACCTCAGGATGCTTCGCTGTGTGACCTGTGCACAGTGCCAGCCAGCCAGCCGTGCAGCCCTGGACGGGGCACAGCCAGACACCCCACACCGCAGATGCCCCCCCGCCTCCTTCCACACCCAGCCCCACGCTGAAGCTGCGAGCCTGCACCAAAACCATCCCGCCTGGAGGCCCCAGATTCACGTCACAGGAGCCCACACACACTCTGAGATATGAAACCCAAATATCGGTGCCAGCAGCTGGGCCCAGAGCAGAGCAAATTCCAGGAGGTTCCAGCAGGGCCGCACCTGGGGCGGGAGGCAGTTATCTCCCAAAGGGCCCCGACTGTTCACCTGGCAAAGGGGGTAAGCTTGTGCATCCCCTCCCGCTGGAGCCTCATTCACAGGGGTTCAGAGGAGAGGGCTCCACACCCCCAGACACAGCGGCTGCCAGCCTCCCTTCGTGGGGCCTTCCATTTGCAGACGGAGCTCACTCCTTACCAGCTGCTCCCGTCTGGGCCCCTCATCTTCTCTTAATGAAGCAGGGTCTCCCTCAGGACAGGAGGTGATACAGGAAGATGCCAGGTGGCCTGGCACCCTTCCCTCCCCTCCCCGAGCCCACCCTCCACACTCACGCAGACACCCTGCGAGCCTCCAAGAGGAGACCAGCAGGAACCCCTGCAGCCCCGCCTCCCCTCCGCCCAAAGACCAGGTGGTGAGCCCCCCACCCAGCCCTCAGCCCCTGACAACGACACCACACGATGGTGGGAACAGCCAGTGCGGGCTCCCTGGGGACAGGACAAACCTGCTTCTACAGAGGCCTCAGAGTCAGGAGAGCAAGCTGCACCTTCACCCCCACCGGGGCTCCCCCAGGCCCAGGTTCCCTTCAGGCAGGTGGTCCTATAAACACTGCATTTCCAGCTGAAAACAGCTCGCCGGGGAGAGGCTGCCCCGCACACAGGCTGCTGCGTGCACGCAGGCACACGCAGGCACACGCAGGCACACGCACACACACACGCCCTGCCAGAAACAGCTGTTTTGACAAACAAATTATTCAAGTCAGCCTCGGGGACGTGAATTGACAGAATCTCAATGTGCCGGCGCCTCACCCAATGCATTGCACATCCAAGCCGAGCTGCGGGTCAAACCGCCAACTCTCGCATTTGGGGGCCCACATCCCCTTCCCCACTCCAGCCCCAATGCGCAGGAAGACCCCTTCCAAAGCGCCAGAGGCTCAGAGCTGAGACAATCACATCCTGGGGTCAGGGAGGCACTG